GTGGATTTGAACCTTTGCCTCCAAGGTTAGCAGGCGAATGCTTACCTGATAGCTCCACCAGAGCTCCTTTTAGAGAGAGGAAAAAGTACGAAAAGGAATTTAGAAGAGTACAGAGTGATGGGACCAAGGTTGTAGTCTCAGATAAGCTGACTGTCATGTCTCTCTCCAAGAAAGCAGTTGTTGGGTTTGCATCGCCAGCCTTGCAGTTAGCAGCCTAGCTCTTAACCACGACATCACCGGGGCTTCTGTCAACAATAAAAGGGCTCATGAATGAAAGGCCTACGTAAGGCAATTATTATAAGTAGTGAATTATAATTAAAAGTGAAGAGGAGGAATCAATGAATGAGGGCCAAAATGGTGGTAAAATTAAAGAATTGGAGGTCATAGGGGAATTTCCGATACCTTGCTTATGTTTTATTACAAAGTACTTTTAAATACTATGATATTTTATGTTCTTTCTACTAATTAAATTGATATCAGGACTCTACTAAGCCAAATGTTTAAAACATATCCATTTTTAAGATTATAATAACAAAAATTAAAATCTTAATGCCTTCATTACTAGCCTTGGCTCTACTTAAAAGGTTGCACATTTGATGAGAAAATAATCCATAGATGGCTTCTGTCGTTTGCAGGTCGCATTGTGGATAACAGCACAAAAGATCTGAAGTTTGCATTCACAGACCTAACGCCATTTACAACATATGCCGTGTATGTCGCGGCTGAAACCAGCGCGGGGATTGGACCAAGGTCAAATCTTTCAATATTCACTCCTCCAGATGGTAAGAACATCTTTAGAGAGTTCATGGGATGTTTTTGCTGTGCTTGTGAATTTTGTTGAATTGGTTAAACTATTTTAGTAGCAGTATAGTTTATATTTACTACATTCATGCTATTTTAAAAAATCAAATTACTATCTAATTTATGCTGCACATGTGTTTCCCAGAACCATCATCCCATAGTGTGCTTCATAATAAAAGGGACCCGAGCAAGGAAGATTAGAAAACACTATTTATACTCTCAACCTGTTGATATTCATGGTCAATATTAGCAAAATCTCAGGAAATATTAAAGTAAACAAACACATTGAAAATTTTTAACATTGTTGGGCCCACATTGTTTAATGTAAAAAGTTTGTTTCTCTAGAACTAGTGTCAGAAATATATATAGATATAGATGTACAGCCCCATTGCCATCGAGTCATTTTGACTAACAGCAGCCTATACAGTGTTTCTAGGGCTATAAATAGCCTCCTCTTTTGTCTAGCCAGGGCTTGTAGGTTTGAACTTTCAACACTGGGATGAGTAGTCCATTACTTCCTTGACAATGCCAAGAAGGTCAAGGAGAGGGTAGATGAAAAAATATCTGTATGTCTATAATCAAAAGGGTTTTCTAAAGTTTGCAAGGATTCTCCGAGAATGCAAAGTACGCATTTATCAGCATTTTCTGAAATTATTGAAACATTCTTTTAAAAATGTGTTTTAAATGATCTATGCATTAAACATCACTGTGATGGGAAAACTAAAGTAATATGTGTATTTTTAAGTTGCCACAGCATTTCAGAACATGTTCTCTTGGAAATGACCAAACTTGGTATTGATATTTAGGGGTTATATTTATGTTAGGGGTTGTAGTTTTTGAGAAGAGTATTATAAATGATTACAACACAGCAACACCTGCAAAAGTCTCCAGATTTTGTCTGTGTGATAGCTGGTATCAAGTAACTGGTAAGTTACAGAGAGCGCAGACCGAACTTCAGTCCTAACGATTGGGCGTACATTCAAATAGTTGACCATCAGAGGGCAGCAACTGTCAGGAAACTGTACGCTTCTCCCTTTACAGACCAGTTAACCCGTAATAATGTTCCCCTGCTGAAAGAACAAGGAAGAAAATGACAACACAAATTGAGGGAGATGTGTATTCATAAGCATAGTGTTCTATAAAATGATGCTATGTATTTCTATCAGACCAGTCTGAGCTTTGTGTGACTTCAATATCCACTAGATATTAAAATAGTTTTCCATTCCCAACCAAAACTGCTAGTAGGCATTTCCAAGAAAGCTAGACAGAATCATCGAAGGCTCTTAACCAGAGTGGAGACATGCTGCCATCACTAGATTGGCCCTTGATTTTGACCTCAATAACAATTTCCCCCCCACCAATGCATTTTGTCAGTCATATTCTATTCTTACTGTATTAATCTGGGTTGACTAGAAGAACAAATTCATAGACATTCCTATGTGTGTAAAAGAGAACTTTATATCAAAGACCAATTGTACATTAAAAAAACATCCCAGCCCAGTCCAAATCAAGTCCGTATGTCAATACTAGTCCACAAATTTAAATTTAGACTCATGCAGCCATGCTCTGACGCCGAATGCAGGAAGATCACAGGCCAGTGAGTGGAAAGTCTTATGGATCCAGCGGTGGTGGAAGCATCTCAGTGCTGGTGTGGGTCTCCACGTGGCTCCTCCAACTCCAGGGCTCTGGCTTTATCAGTGTAGTTCCATGTGGTTTGTCAACAGGAATACTTCACAGGGAGGGAGTGTATCTGGCCTCCATTTAGCTACTTATCTCTTTCATGTCTCCAAATGAGGTCATCAACTGCGACTGATTGACAGGCTGGACTCCACCCCTTCACAGTTGACAGGAGATTATATGACTGCCACAGTTATGCTACACAATTAAATACATTATTATGGTTTGCCTTTTTCAAGTAAAGTCTATTTTTGTTTTAAAACTGAACCCATAACTTAAAATGCCATTGTATCTGATGTACAGAATTTGACAAAAATAGAGAAATAGATAGCTGATACTCAGAGAGAAGCGCTAAAGAATTTAGTCGTATAATTTACTTTGAATAGTATTTAGAAAATCTTTTCCCTTTCTTTGTTTTTTTTTAAATCAACAAAATAATATGTAATATATATAATGGGTTATTTTTCAAACTAAATTCATTTGTCCTGTATAAAAAGCAATTTGTTGGAAAAAAATAGCAACTTATTTTGCATTTCTTCCTGCTTCTTCCCTAAGCTACTCACCATGAAGAGCACATTCAGGTGGCTTTCAGGGGTGTCTCCTTTGGCAACAAATGGGCTCCACTAAGTGCAGGAGTACATAGCTCTTACCTCTGCTTGTCAGTGTTCCTCTGTGGGGTTCTCTGGGGATAGTTCAGCCACAGGAGAGGCTGTAATGGAATGCTCTGACAAAGGAAGTTAATGCAGCTTTTCATTTATGACAATACTAATTAATCCTGAGTTCACTAATTTAAATATTGCAATAAAGGGATCTTTAGACTATATGAGAACAATGTAGTAATTCATTAGAAATGTAGTGATTCATTAGAACTAGACATTCAATTAAAAATTGATATGTTAATTTTATTCTTCTTTTTCATTTATTCATCAAATGAAGTTCTGTGTATTTTAATTATGATTCTTGAATATATTTTCTTCTCTTTAACTATGAAAGTACTGTGCAGTCTATTTAAAATTAGTTCAAACTAACTTGCATCTTTTAAATTAGTACCCATGAAAACAACTGACCTTCTGGCCTCCAGACACTCAGAAAATAGTGAATTGGCCTATATTATAGATGTTTGGGGGCCTTTGTGATGTAGTTGTTATGCACTGGGCTGTGATCCTCAAGGTCAGCAGTTAGAGCAATGACCTCATGGGTGAAAGATGGGCTTTCTCCTCCAGTAAACAGTTACAGTCTCAGAAACTCACAGGTGCATTCTACCCTCTCTTAGAGGATCACTGTGAGTCAGCATCGCCTTGATGGCAGTGAGTTTTGTTTTTTAATCATAGATGGTTACTGGCTGTGCATAAGGTACACTGGCTGGAATCCCACTCAAGTCTTCTCACGGAAGGCTTCTTCTACACTGACCCACGAGTGTCCCTATTACAGTGGCATCGATCGCATTGATAGAATGGTTCAGATGTAAAATTCGTGCCTTTCGTAGAGAGTATGGTCCACTTCCTGGTCAACTCATCTCGTGTCCAACTACCTCCCCTCTGTCAGGGGAGGCTTGCACATTAGTATGATGCTAAACAGGTTTCAAGAGAACATCCAGACTAGAGCAGAGTAGGAAGCCCTGAAGAGCTCTTTTTAAAAATCGTCCAACAGAAATCTTATGGATAGTATTGACTCGGTCTGCATTCGCGGGTGGGGAGGGCCGAGTCAGGACTAGGAAACATCTTGTGCATGATGTCGCCATGAATCAGGGTCTGACTAGACCTCAGCTGACACAGAGTGGTTAAAGTTGGTGGTTTTCTGTTGATCATCAAATAGCAGCATTTTGTTATCATAGTTCTATATAGTTTGTCACATTTTAAAATAGATACCTTTTATTTTGCTGAGTTGATTTATACAATCTTGAAAAGTAGATTATTTTGAGAAATAACCATATAATAATATCGCATGTAACAGTTGCTTTCATAATCAGAAATGCTGGTGGATGTGATTTTAGCAATGACATTTTCTGATTATTTCCAGGAATGTAAAATAAAATCTTAAATAAATTTTGTTGCTTCAAGCTCCCCTAATCATTTTCTGTCATCAGTGTCAAATATTTTACAAAGAGGTAGTAACTTGATTTCTAAAAAAGAAAAAAACAAAACAAAAAACCCCCAAAACATTGAAATCCACATTTGCAGGCTCATTGATAGACTTTGAGAGAGAAGACTTTTGTCCTCAGTGATTTCAGTTTCTTCCCAAACCAAAACCAAACGCATGGTCATCAAGTCCCACTCACGGCGGCCCCCTGGTACAGGGTAGGGCTACCCTTCTGGGTCTTTGAGACCCTGTTTAGAGAGCAGGAAGCAACTGGCAATCTCGAACTGTTGACCTTATGGTTCGCAGCCTAGCGCATAACTCATTGCACCACCAGGGCCCCTTCCTGAAAATTCTAATAAAAAGTGGGTAGAGAAACCATGGAAAGCCTAGCCATTTTGTGCTCTTTGGGAGTCTCAGTGACTCTTATTTTTAATACATATTTTCAAAATGCAATTTTAATGGTTCGATTTGCTAAGTAAGGGCACATTTCATTTGCAGTTTGTGTTTTTTTTAAGCCCAGTGTCATTCATCTATCTATTTCAGTTCTTTAAGTGCTTTTTCACTTGAAAATACAAATGGTTTGCATACATACGTATGCATATACACAAAATGTTTCCACATCTTTTAATTCCAATGTTCCACTAATTTTTTGAACAAAAAGCCCCTTTGCATATATTTTACCGATTATAGGTGTACTCTCTCATGTATAGACTTGAGAATGACTCTTAGAAGTGAATATTTTCAAAATTGATTCAGAACCATGAATTGTCCTGTGTGTTTGATTTTCCTTAGTTAATTTTTATATCAATATTAAGACAGTTTGATCTAATCTGCATGTCTCTTGTTTCCCCATAAGAATTTGTACTGTAGCCAGATGAAATTTCTTTCTAAAGATAAGATTCAATGCTGTCTACTCCATTTCCTTTATCCCCTGTTTTTATTTTTCCCATTGATAGAAAAAGAAATTAGGGATTTACAGTCATTATTCTCATACAAGTTTGGGGTACCTTTGTAGGGTGATATCAAATCACTTAATCTTTATTTGAATTATAATGTTAGGCATTAGTGCCATGGGGCAATACTGTTTTCCTGAAAAAAGAAAATCTTGTAATTTAAAAAATAGGGTGTCTGCTCTAGTTTTAGTTTGGCAAATAAAATAGCACAGTAAAAAAGACTTTTTTCCTGATTTCCTTAGTAAATTTTAGTATCCTGCTACATTAATGCTGTGCTGCATTGAACTGACCATTTCACTTAGTTCCAATTGGCATTGTTTACTTGCCTGATTAATATGATCAGTGTAGTCATAATAGTGTTTCCATTGGTTGAGTATCTATGTCTGTAACTTGCTTCAAGTTCTAGTTCTAAAGTACCCAGTGCTTTATTTTAAACTAATTGTTCATCCTCGTTTTCCTTTTCTGCTCTAAAAAGTGCACCTGAAATTTGAGACACATGATTAATTTGAAAGGCAACAGACGAAATTCAACTCTCCAAGTAATTTCATTTAATAAGTTTAGAGATGGTCTAATTGAATATACCAACTACATTTCAAGCTCATTGGATAATTTTTATTTTATATTTTGCTATAACTTTTCTGAAGCTTTCAAGGTTTCAAGTGACCATTAATCATCCAAAAATTAGGCAGCTTCCCTGGGAAGTTAATTTTATTAATTAATTTGTCTGAACAAAATCATGGTACCATGTTGTGACATTTTTATTTGGGGTACTATTTTAGGCTTTTGTATCATCTATTTCAGTTTTGGGGAAAATATATAGCCTTTGATTTTAAATGTCTGTGTTGCAACAATCTTATCATCATATTAATTTTACTTAAATTGGGAAATTGTTTTAGTCTATTTTTAATAGAATGCCTCCAAACTAAAGTTACTGCCATTCAATCTATGCCAGCGCACAGCATCCCGCTAGGACAAGGCAACACTGCCCTTGTGAGTTTCAGAGACTGCAACCCTTTACGGAAAGAACCCTCCATTTTATCCCTCTGAATGGCTGGTGGTTTCAAACTGCTGACTTAGTGGCTCGCAGCCCAGTGCTTAACCGCTATGCCATGAGGAGTTCTTATCTGAAATCATAAGTTAAGACTTTTTGAAATTCGAAATGTGTTTTTAAGATTCTCTCATATTCTTTATTTAGTTCCAGGTGCAATATTTGATTTACAACTGGCAGAAGTGGAAGCCACACAAATAAGAATTACTTGGAAGAAGCCTCGACAACCAAATGGAATCATTAACCAGTACCGAGTGAAGGTGCTGGCTTTGGAGACAGGAGTTGTTTTGGAAAATACTTTGCTCACAGGAATAGACGAGGTACTATACTTTCCTTTCATATCTTGGCGAGCCTGTTCTCCTTGGTTCTGGCCCTGGGAACATGGAGCTTTGTCAGCACCGAACACAAAATCTTTGACAAGCTTCGTAGTACAAAACTCATGAGGGTCAGCTGGATACTATAGGACAGAGCAGAACCGCCCCATAGGTTTTCCAAAGATGCAAATTGTCACAGCAGCAGACGGCCAATAGCTTGCTTCCACTCATGGTACAAAGTGATGTAGATGTGGGCCAATTTGATAATGTAGCTAGATCATATTTTATTCTAGGGCACATCTTATTAGTTAAGTACTAGTATTCTTTCCCAGCATATGAAAAATGCTAATTGAGCAATTAAGCAGGACTAAAAGTACCTCCATACGTGAATATTATTATGGTAATTTAGTTAATGAATTGTTTGGAAACCCTTCTATGATTTAAATACTCCTTCTAAGACTATGCTTGAAATTTGGAAACAGTTGCTGTTGAAAAGCACAGTGATTTTAGTAGCTATTGCTCTAAATGCTGGTGTCCTGTTTGGTTTGGGGAATCTAAATTTCTCTAAGCTGCCACATTGAAAAAAATACACCAACATTTGATTAAATAAATCACGTAACTAAATAAAAGATTTAAGCTGTTTCATAGATTTAACATAAAAGGACCTGATCCTTTGGCAATGGGTTTGCTATTTTTCTTGTTGCTGTCGTTGTTTTTCTTAGACCCTCAGGCAGAACTGATTTCTCTTCCCTTGCTGGCCTCACTTGTCTACGTCTCCAGACTGGTCATATCTTCTCTGTGTCACTGGAGAAAGACAAAGCTTTCAACTCCTATAAAGAATTTCAAGCTTGTAAACCCACAGGGGTAGTTCTACCCTGTCCTCTCGCGTCCTATGAGTCGGCATCAACTCATTATGAGTTTGGTTTGAGTTTTCTGGGTCACTGGAAGAATAAACGTACATTGAACCAGCCACTGGGCCTCTAATGGCTACCTGATCGTTATTCAGCAACTGTAGTGGTTAAGAGCCGCTGATGCTGTTAGCCATGCTTTGATTTTCCAGCCTCCACATGGACCAGTGTTCCCCAAAGTGGGTGATACCACCCCCTGGGGAGGCCCTGAGTGATCCAACGAGGCTGCAAAAGCAGATCAAAACCCAAACTCAATGCCACTGAGTCATTTCTAACCGATAGCGACACTAGAGGACAGGGTAGAACTGCTTCATGTGTTTCTGAGACTGTAACTTTTGATAGGAGTAGAGAGCCTCATCTTATTCTCCTGGAGTGGCTGATGGTTTTGAACTGCCCACCTTTCAGTTAGCAGCTCAACCCGAGTAACCCAGTACATCACCAGGGATCCTTGCAAAATCAGATATGTACATTTATCCCGGGTTATGGGCTATAGTACAAAAGTTTTCTACTTGCCAGAGGGGTGCTCAGTAAATTTTTTGTAAAGGGCAGTAAGCCAAATAAGTTTGGGGACCTATGACCTAGACTGTCCACTTTTTCTCTAGTGCCAGACTTTCCATTCCACGTACTCCATATACTCTGACCACCCAGGATGCATCACTTCAAACTGTTCACTGTCTTCAGCCGTGGGTTAAATTATAATTCAGTGTTGACTCCCTTCCTCTGTGCAAAAGAGGTTGAGTAATGATTTCTCCAATACTCTAGTTGACAGTTCCAGCAAAGGGCAAAATCTTCATCCTTTGCTCCTGATGAGAAGCTCTTAAATTAAATACTAGCTTTTTTTTTTTTTTTTAGTTCTAGGATTCTAATTAACACCCAGGAGCCATTTAATGTTACCTGGTCCACTTGCCTGGACTTGTGTTGCTGCTATCTCACAGAATTGGTTTTCTATTGCTGTGCCACCAACTGTCACAAATTTCTCACTTAAAGTAGCCCACCTTCATGATGTCACAGTCTCTTTGGAGCAGATGGGCTCCTCCTTTCAAGTCTCATAGGCTGGAATCAAAGTTTCCCCCAAACTCTCTTGTCATCTGGACGCTTGGTCTGGGAAGAATCACTTCCAGATTCACTGAGGTTTGTGGAAGCATACACTCCTTGTGACTAGGGATCTAGACCCAGGTGTTGACCAATGTGCTTTCCCTACATGGGATTACTTTATCAAGTGAGCCAGGAGATCCTCTAGTCTGTAGAATAAAAGGAATCACGAGTGACATCAAAGTGTCCCTGGGGTCTCTTTTTCTATTCGGTGAAAGCAAGCCAGAGATTCTACTGTATCCTGAAGAGGGGTAACATAAAGTGTGAAGCCAGGAGGTGGTAACAAGGCAGGGCCGGCCACCTCCTGGGCTGCTAACCATTCTTTCCCAGGCCACTACTTCAGATTTCACCCATGTATAAGAATAATTCTTCTCAGTTGAAGAATAGTGTTTAAATTATAAAAACAATCTGAGAATGGAAACTAAATGGGAGAGGGTGTGTATCTGTGGAAGTAACCTAGCACCTCACTTGCCACAGCAGAAGGTGAGCAGATAATGTGAGTGAGTCAAGCAAAGCAGTGCGAGTCGAAGATCTCATGATTTAGAAGTAAGCAGCATGAACACTCACAACAGACGTGTTGCTTCCTGGGAGTAAAATTAGAAACAGGGAAGGTTTGAAAAACCCGCTGCCATCCAGCCGATTCCCATCAAGTTTATTCATCGTGGTCCTATAAGACCGAGTGGAACTCCCCCTGAGATTTCCAAGGCTGAGAATCTCTATAGTCTCTCTCCCACAGAGTGGGGGCTGATTTTTCTTAGAAGCCAAGTGTTTTAAGGACTAACTTTCCCTAAGGTTTGAAAAGGTAACTATTCTTTTTATGGTAGCTCTTTTATTTTTCTCTTTTTGATTTTTGTTGTTTAGGAGCCATGTACAAATACTATGAAGAAAAGTTTTAAAAATATTTAAATATAGACTGACTCCAAGATTGGCAGTTCAAACCCACCAACTCTCCTATGGGATAGATATGGAGGCTATCTGCTGCTGTCATGATTCATAGCTTTGGAAACCATACAGAGAGTTATTATGAGTCTGGATTAATTAAATGAATGGCACTGGGGTTTTTTGTTTGTTTTGAGGGCTGGGTGCTATTTTATTTATTTATTTTATTGGGGCTCTTACAACTCTTGTTACAATCCATATATCAATTGTATCCAACATATTAGTAAGTATATTGCCATCGTTCTTTTCTAGACATTTATTTTCTATGAAGACCTTGGGACCTGCTCCTCTTTTTCCCCACTTCCTTCCCTACCCTCATGGTCTCTTGTTAGATTATAGGTTATTATTTTCATATCTCACACCAACTGCTGTCTCCCTTCCCCTCTGGTTTCTATTGTTCTTCCCCCTGGATGGGTGTGTGTGGTTATGTACCACACACATTGTGATCGTCAACCCTTTCCCCCTACCCTTTTGGTATCGCTCTTCCCATTCCTGTTCCTGGGTTCCGTGTGCCATGAACATTATCTCTTGCCTATACCTATGTACATGCTCCCATCCAGTCCAGAGTGGGAAAAAGCACTGTGGTCATGATAGTGGGGGGTGAGGAGGCCACAAGGGATCAGAGGTATATTGCGTGATCCATTGGTGCTCTACTGCACCCTGATTGACTCATCCTCTCCCTGTGACCCCTCTGAGAGGGGATGTTCCATTGTCCACAGATGGGCTTTGAGTCTCCGCTCCAACCCCCCTCATTCTCACCAATGTGTTTTTGTTTGTTTGTTGTTTGTTGTGAATCTTCTGATGCCCATTACCTGATGCCCAGGTCCTAATGACACCTCAAGACCGCACTGGCAGGTGTGCTTCTTCCATGTGGGCCTGTTGCTTCACTGTTGGATGGCCGCTTGTTTAATTTCAAGCAGTTAAGACCCCAGACACTCTATCTTTTAATATCTAGGCACCATCCTCTGTCTTCGCCACATCTACTTATGCACCCATTTTGTCTTCAGCAATTGTGTCAGGGGTGGGGGTGAGCATCACAAAATGCCATTTTGTTAGAACAAAGTGTTCTTGTAATGAGGGAGGGTGTGAGCTGAGGCCCAAGGCCCATCTTCAGCCTCAGTGTATTGTACATAGGCCAATACTCTTATTTTTATGGATTAATGTATTTACATAAGTACATACCTCTATCTATTGCTTTGATTCCTAGAGCTTTCCTCTGTTTCCTTTTGCTTCCTCCTGCCCCACCATCACTTTCCCCCTTCTTCCATCTCTTAGTGCTTCCTCTCAGCCAGAATGCTGTTGCTCTAATACCCACAGGATCTCTACACCTTCCTAGATGTTGGTTTAAATTCCCTAGTTGTTCCCCTGTACATGGTGCTGTCCACTTACCACTCTCTCTCCCCGCCTCCTTCTTCCCCCAAGACACTCTGGGATCATTGGCCCCATGGCTTTCTCCCAGAGCTTTTCTCTTATGTCCGTCTCATAAAAGTAGGAAAACCAGCAATGTCCTAGTCCAAACAACAATAAAACAAAAGGCTGGGGGAAAAAAACGGAAAGAAAAAGAACAGAAACCCTACATAGATCAAGGTCTGATCGCTGGCACCAGGAGTTCCTCTCCATTTGTCCTGCGGGAGTTCCAGGGGCTGCCCCTCCTAACCCAAAGTCCATTCTTGGAGCTCCTCAGGGGCTCTATGGATCAGCTTTACTCCAAGTGCTGATCTGTTATGCTCCATTCCTGGTTTGTCCCACTGCGGGGGAACCAGTCCACACTATCTCCCTGGTTTGTGTCCCCATTATTGTCCTCTGTCACCATATGCTCCAGTTAGGGGACAACATGTCTTGAGTAGTTGGCAGTCCCACATTCCTCTCTGTGCCTTAGCAGCTCCGTGCAGGGGCATCATCCTCCAGGCTTGATGTGCCTATATGGAGTCTAGGCCGACTGTCTCTCTCTTTTTCCTTCTTGGTTTGCTTCCCTGTGGGCATGGTAAGTCTGTTCCTTTCCCCCACCTGAAGGTATAGTGTCATTCTCTGTGGCACACACTTCTAGGGTGGGGGTCAGACTGGCTC